CGTCCAATTTTGGCCTCCATGTTCGTTTGCTTCTTCAAAACAATTTATTACCGCATCGTTTATATCTCTTCATGGGAAACCCAACCGAGACAGGAATAAGGCTTAACTCAAGTTTGCACAATAGAGTAACTGGAAAACCATTCTAGAATATGCATCCTGGGAACTGATTCATCCCTCGACTCTGTTTTTCTTTCATGTTTGGGTTTCCATGCACAAGCTGCACCATCACCTTAAACTGTCATTTCAGGATCCCTCTGATAAGAAACCTCAGTTCTAAGTAGAAGTTGTGGTCGATCCAAATGAACATGCCGAACTAGTAGATGGCGTGGCCAATCCAAATGAAAACACTAAAAGAGTAGATGGTGTAGTTGATCCAAAAGAGAACGCTGGCTCAGTAGATGGTGTAGTCGATCCAAACAAAATTCCAGCTCCAGCAGATGACGTGGGTGACCCAGCTCTAGCAGATGATGTAGTCGATTCAAACGATAACCCAGCACTAGTAGGTACTGTAGACGATCCAAATGAAAACGCTGAACCAGAAGATGGTGTAGAAGCTCCAAGTGGAAACGATGTCCTCATATCTTTTTTGCGGTCTTGTCTAGGTTCTGCTCCAGGTTTCAGACCTCCACAAGCTGCACACTCAACTTTACCACAGTCGTTTCTCACCATGCAGATGCACACTCCCATGATCCTTCAGTGGCTTTAAACGTGGTGAAAAGGTCGTCTTAGACTTCCTGGTGCCCTTGGTCTTCTTAGAGTGACTTCGCTGGTGTCTCGTTCTTCATCAGTTCTTGGCATTCTTCAAACTTCTCTTTGAATTGCTTTGCAATGTCGTCTGATTTAAACCTGACCGCAAGCTGTTCTGCTTTGCATTCCTGCTCAGAAAAGTCCGCCAATGTGCTCCACACCCAGGATCTATCTGAACCTGCATTGGGTTGTAGTTTCATGTCAATGGTTATCTGATGATTTGCACAAATTTTCAGCACTTGATCCCGACGCATCAAGACTCTCATCTTTCCTGATTGTCTATTTCTCAATAACTTTATGTCTCCAACTCCTCATTCTATCCACTGCTTGTCGTCTGCTACAAATCGATATAGCTTGGCTCTGTGAGAAAACATGACTTCTTCATGTTCTTCCCCAGTTTTGACATCGATCTTGTCAGGGAGTGCGATAATTGGCTCAAAGTGGGGTCCATCATGGTCGTCTTCGGTCACTGATTCATCATGGTCTCCTGTAGCTTTTGAGGCAAACAGAGGGGAACCAGCACCTGCAAACCCAGGAGATGATTTGGATGCTTTCTGCCCAAATGGACTGCTGGTCAGAGACGTGGCAGCTACCGACTGGAACGACAAAGAAGAGATGCTGGAGGAACCAAAAAGAAACTTTTCTTCTGTGTTCGGTGAAGGATCTTTTGCGGGTTGCTCGTCAGGTGGGGATGCCTCGTCACTGGAAAAACAGAAATCGTAGAATGATCTGTTAGAACACTATTTTTTACTACCTTTTATCACGAACAATGACCCGTCTTACCAAATAAGAAACTAGTTAATACACTTGAATGACAACTTTAACCATTGAAGGTAGTGTCAACTTGGCAGATACATTACTCTAATGAACTCCACCTCCAGTTCAACATGAAGCGTTTTATTGTAATAGTTTCTCCCAACTGAGATTTGCCCTATTTCAGAGTTTGCATATGTCGATTAGTGGATCGAAAGTGAATGAAGTAGTTATTATTCAGAAGTAGTTATGAAAAGTTTCTAACCCACAATTTGGGCACAACTGACCTTTCCTCAGTAGGTTTTGTTTCCTCTTTGTTGCTATCTTCGACCTTTGCTTGGTCAGTAGTACTCTCAACATCCTGCACATTCTGAGCCTGTTCATCGTTCTCGTCCTCAACTTCTTTACGAGGCGTTTCCTCAACTGTTGGAGAAACACTTTCCTTGTTGTCCGCAGTCTGCTGTTCAGCCGCATGTTCTTCTCCCTGAAAGGAACCAAATCTTATCGGAATTCCTGACTTGGAATTCTGTGTTTCGCCGAATGAACCAAACGATGAAAACCTTGCATCAACTTGGCCCGTTCCAGCTGAACCAAATAAAAATCCTGCACCAGTGGATGATGTAGCTGATCCAAATGAAAACGCTGAACCAGAAGATGGTGCAGCAGATCCAGATAGAAACGTTTTTGTATCTTTCTTTTGGCCTTGACTTGGTTCTGCTCCTGGTTTCAGACCACCACAAGCTGCACACTCAACTGTATCACTGTCGTTTCTCACCATGCAGATATCACACTCCCACGACCCTTCAGCTGCTTTGAACTTAGTGACAAGATCGTCTTTGACTTCTTCTTGCGCTTGCTCTTTTTGAACTGTCTTCACTGGTGTCTGGTCCTTCAACAGTTCTTGGCATTCTTCAAACTTCTCTTTGAAATGCTTTGCAATGTCTTCTGATTTAAACCTGACCGCAAGCTGTTCTGCTTTGCATTCCTGCTCAGAAAAGTCCGCCAATGTGCTCCACACCCAGGATCTATCTGAACCTGCATTGGGTTGTAGTTTCATGTCAACGGTTATCTGATGATTTGCACAAATTTTCAGCACCTGATCTCGACGCATCAAGACTCTCATCTTTCCTGATTGTCTATTTCTCAATAACTTTATGTCTCCAACTCCTCGTTCTTTCCACTGCTTGTCGTCTGCTACAAATCGATATAACTTGGCTCTGTGAGAAAACATGACTTCTTCATCTTCTTCGCCAGTTTTGACATCGATCATGTCAGGAAGTGGGATAATTGGCTCAAAGTGTGGTCCATCATGGTCTACCTCTGCTGTGCCATCGTCATCCTCAGTATTCTGAGCAGCAAAGAGCTGAGCACCAGCACCAGTAAATCCTGGAGATTTCTGCTGGGATTTTTGGCCAAATGGACTGCCACCCAAAGACGATGCAGCTACTGACTGGAAGGACAGTGAAGCCACACTAGGAGAACCAAACAGAAAGTTTGACTTACTTGGCGTTGATATTTCCTCAGAAACATCGCCTGTCGGCTGGCTTAGTTGACTGTAAAAACAAAAGTAAATATAAAATGTTTTAATGGCTGTCGTGAAACGTACGGTAAAACAATAATACTTGAAACAAACAATTACAAGAGAAACATGTCGCGGAAGAGGGAAAGGCACATGAGCCACAGAAATGGTTCTGGCTTTACTGCTGTTGTCATTAATTCGGACTCCAGAGGCTATAATAATCATTATAATCATTATAATCATTACAATCAGTATAATCAGTATAATCATTTTTATTTCTTTATAAATGTTCATTTTACAGTTGGACTGGCTACAAAATTGGCGAGGAAAAAGAACCAAAGGTAAACATTTTCCAAACATTAGATTGTGTATTTGACTTGAGAATGCCCTTGAAGTAGCTGGAATCGTAAAATGTCATGTACAATGTTCTGTGTCTATAGGTTAGCATTATGTACCCTAGCAGACCACTACCCATCTATATATCTATCTACCCACCTTGCAACTGGGTCTGATTCTCTGGAGTCGGTTCCAGAAGACGAGTCCTCAAATCCAAAAAAATTACTTGGCAATTCTAAGCGTTTAGCTCTCTCCTTTTGATCATCTGTAACTCCTCTTTCGAACACGAGTGAAATGTCATCTTCAAGTTTCATGGCAGTTTCCTGGTCAGTTTGTTTGACTTCTGGTTTTGCTGAAGATGTGATATTCTCCGCTCTAGATTTAAGAGATTGTAAAGCTTTGTCAAACGTATCCTTAAATTCAGTAGCGATCTCGCTTGTCTTAAACCTTGCGCCTAAAGTCTCTGCCACAGCTACTTCGTCCGAGAAATCTGCAAGTGTCGTCCACAACCAGGCTCTGTCAGAATTTGGAAAGGGTTTAAGCTCCATATCCACAGAAATCATGTGATTTGCGCAAAGTTTAAAGACATGCTCACGTCTCATTAAGACCCGGTATCCTCCAGAGCTTGGGTTGAGAAGTATCTTGATGTCACCGACACCTCTTTCCTTCCATTGTGATGCATCACTATCATATCTGAACAACTTGCAACGTTCACAAAACATCACTTCTTGGCCCTCTTCTCCTGTTCGGGATTCCACTTTTTCAGGAAGTGGTATCACTGGCTCAAAATGTGGCCCATCATCCTCTGCATGGTCAGGACTCTCTGGAGACAAGGGTGACGCAGGTGATATGGGTGATTTCGCTTTGCGAGAGGGAGACTCAGGAGAAACCTGTAGACTGAATGTAAACTTGGCTGGAGTATTTGTGCCAAAAGGAAGACTGGTGACAACATTCTCTTGGAGGAATGGTGTTGCGTGCGTTTGTGGAGTCACTCGTTGCCTACTTGGAGAGGACGTCTTACTCGGAGACAGGTACATTTCATCATCTAGTTTATCTTCACTTGATTCTCCTCGTCCAATGTTAAAAAGCTGAGAACTGGCCAATCCCTTTACTCCGGGTGACTGGAAAATTGAGCCAGCTGAGGTCAAGTCCTTGTTGAAATCCTGAAATGTGTTCGGCTCTACAGGTTGAACACTTGTCGGCGTAACTTTCGTATGTTCTCCTGCTGTTTTAGACGAAGGTCCAAGAGATCCAGCAACAGGCTTAGCAGTGCTGCATGCTACACATCTCGAGTCTTTTGTATTGGTTTCGACGTAACACATCTCACAAGTCCAAGTATCAGAAGAAGCAGCAAATGTAGAAATAAATTGTTTATAAAGGGCGCACCCAGCTCCCTGTTGGTCATCAGTTGGTTCCACTTCGGAGGGCATTCCAGAAGAGAAGGTCTCTTTAAGGTCATCAAAAACGTCCCTAAACTTCCCTGCAATTTCTGCCGACTTCAATTTGATGGCTAGCTTCTCAGGTCTCGCTTCACCTTCAGCATAGTCAGCTGGAGTGTACCAAACCCAAGAGCGGTCCGATCCAACATTGGGTTTAAGCTCCATTCCAGAATTAATGTTGTGATTGGCACATAATTTTTTTATTTGCTCTCTTCTCATAAGAACTCTTCCTTGGCCAGATTTCGGATGACGCAAGAGCTTTACATCTCCAACACCTCTTTCCTTCCACTGACCAGAGTCAGCATCAAAACGGTACAGCTTGGCTCGCTCAGAGAACAACACCTCCAGACCTTCTTCACCTGTAACAACTTTGATCTCATCTGGGAGAGGAATGACTGGCTCAAAATGAAACTTGTCTTCATCTTGGCCTTCGACGTCCTCACTTATTTCAGCAAAGAGCTGCGCACCAGCTCCTTGAAAAGGTTTAGCGGCATCCTTGTTCTTCGTCAGAGAAAATGCGTCACTTTCTTTTGGCTTTACAGATGAAAATGTAAGTTGACCAACGATTGAAGATTCACCAAACACATGACTGGCATTTCCACTTTCGCTTTTCTCTGGCTTACGGATATTCTCTTCGGAAGGAGACACTACAGGGCTTTGTTCATCCTCCTTTTCGCTCAACGTTGCCGATTCTTTTGCTACTCTACGGCAACCAAGACATCCAGGACATTCTTCTTGCTTTGTATAGTTGAAAAAATTGGAGGGAAGGAAAAGGCGAGAGGCTTTTTCACGATTGGCCATTGAGGCGCGAACCTGATAAACAATAAGACAGTCTTCGTCTTGCCTTTTAGTAGCCTTTAGAGCACTCTTAGGTGTCAAAAAACGTCTACCAGTGAGATGAGGAGGAAGGTTAGCAGGTCCGGTATTCTCAGCAAGCGTGGAATGGATTGGAACAGGCTTCAGCGGGGTGGATAGTGGCTTCCCTTGACTTGGTGAAAACGGAGGCTGAGTTTGAGATGACTGTATGGGCGGCATTGGCGAGGAAGACTCAATGGAATCTTCATTTTCCTCGTCATCCTCTTCACCCTCAGTAGATGTATAACTTAAATTCTCGTCTGTGGAATCCTCTGATTGTTCAATAACTGCCTCATGGTCGAAGTCGTCACACTCTTCTACAATTACAGTGGAAATAGGCTTGGTTACCCTTTGAAGGGACGCCGCTTCGGCAGGTTCATTCACAACGTAAGGTGTGAAGTTATAACCTCCAACCTGCAACTCCTGATTTGCATAATCTTGCTGTTCTTTAGCAGCTGCAAGGCGTCGAAGTAGTTCGGTGCCAGAAAAATCTGAAAGTGTAAGTGGCTGGGAGAACATCTCGGATGTCTGCAGAGCACTCTGAATCTGGGATGTTTCAGACTTCGAGGAATGTTGTGCTGCTTGGTACCACAGATTAACCCCTGCAGTCCAAGATGTGGCTCCACCCAGGGGTGCATAAGCGTCTAATGGACCAAACTGAAAGGTACCAGTACGTTGCTGCCAAAACAATTTCTCTTCGGGCATTTCTTGCCTGTCAGTAGGTGTACCAAATGAAAACGAAGGCTGAGATTGATTCTGAATAACTCTGGCTTCCTGGGAAACATTTGGTGTCACCTGATTAACATCCGCAAACTTCTCAGACACCAAAGGATCGGTCTGTGTTCTGGATGTTGAATGGGGTGATAAATCAAGGTCAAAACTCGGAGAAGTGCCTGAGTTAAAAGAACCAAAGGACAAAGCAGCGCTTCCCTGCTCTGGCGTACTACCACCGAATAGAGATTTCTCAACAGTAGTGGCAGTGTTTTCAGAGACAGCTTTCTGTGGCATCTTCACTGATAAAGGTGATGATCCAGTCGAGCCTAAAGAACCAAAAGGGAACGATGTTGTGTTTGTCTTGCCAGCAATAGCAGGGACTCCAAAAGCTGCCAAAACGAAGGGTTGAGTTGTTGGAGGCTTCGAAGTTGGAAACAACTCGGGAGAGCCACCAACCACTTGTCTGGCTGTAACGGCGGCTGTCTCTGAAGTAGATGTATCATCAGGTGCTAATGGATGAACACCAAATCTAAATGGAGAAGTACTTATGGTTCCTGCATCAGTCTTTCCAAATGTGAATGGTGAGCTATTTACTGTTTCTCCATCAGTCTTAACAAATGTAAATGTGGAACTTTTCGTCATTCCTGTATCGCTCGTTGCAAATGTAAATGGTGAGCTCTTTACAGGTCCTAAATTGTTGCTTCCAAATGTAAATGGTGAGCTGTTCCTGGGTCCTGAATCACTTATTCCAAATTTCAACGGCGAGCTGTTGACAGATCCCGGATCACTCTGTCTAAACGTGAATGGGTTTCCTGATGACGCATTTCCTTTATATCCACCAAAGACAGTATTTGACGCACTGCTGGTCGTTGCTTGACTCAGTAAATGAAACTCAGTTTTAGGCGCCTCCAAAGTACTTGTAGTAACATCTGATAGCTTAGCAGCACCGCAAGCAACGCAGACGGTCGTACGTTCCTCGTTGGTAACCAGACAAACAGAACACGACCAAGACCCAAGTTTTGGAGCGAACTTTGCCATCAGGTCAGAACTCTTCTGCCTTGTGCCGACTGCTGTTGTTTCTTGTTCTTTAGAAGCACCTCTCTTCGCCATCTTTTGACACTGCTCAAACTTCTCTTTGAAGAGCAGGAAATCATCTTGGCTCTTGAACTTGACAGCCAATTGTTCCGGCTTCGACACCTCCTCTGAAAAGTCGGCAAAGGTATTCCAAATCCACGCATTAGCTGTGCCCTTCTTATCTGTTAGCTGCATATCATCTGTAATGAAGTGATTGGCACAAATCTTGTGGACAGCTTCACGTCTCATTAAGATCCGACTACGTCCCTTTTCTGAATTATACAAAATCTTCATGGTGCCAATCCCGCGTTCTTTCCAAGCGGAAACTTCTTTGTCGTAGCGATACAGTTTGGCTCTACTGCTGAACATTAATTCTTCATCTTCCTCGCCAGTTTGTACCTCAATTTGTTCAGGGAGGGCTATGAGCGGCTCAAAATGGATGTCTTCAGTATATGAAGTGGATGAGTCATGTCTCGTCCTACCGGGGGATGTTGGGGATGTTGGCATTGCTGTAAACTCTTCAACCTGTTCTGCTCGCTTTTCAGGGCTGTTGCTGGTGCTCAACCCAGCAAAGAAACTGGAATCGATTTTCAGTGGACCCTTGATGTTAGGAGCTGTAAGGGGTTTGACACCTTTTGACGACAAAGACATCTGTCTTGTAGCCACTGGTGTGGATTCGAACATGGGTTTGTTCTGATCGTTTTCACTATGGCCAGATGCTGCAGGGGCAGACAGATTAAGAGGCCCGTATTGAGATGCTTGCAACATGCTAATTTGTTTCTACAAGAGAACAACACATAACATGTTAATCCACTGAATAAGGTGTATATAATCGTCCATCAAATCACAACCTTTATGACCGGGAAGCACCTGATATGTAATGGTATCAAGTGATCAATTAACTTGAAAACAATTCCTTAACTACAGTGTAATCTGGGAATTCTTTCTTGGGTGAGGGCGCTTTTAAATGCGGAGTCTGCAAACCACAGGTATAAAGACATCATTTTACCGCTATTGATAGTTGGGGTCTTGTGACGTCTTTACGAATGGCTCAAGAAGAGCTGACCACAAAACTCTATATTTTGAATTAATATTGTCTCGCAACGACACTTTGCTTTATTTACAAGTTTTAGTCGCCAGCTCAAATAAATCCAACCTCCTTACATACTAATAGTCATATACTTGTTTTGACATTGGCTCTGAGAATTTCAGTGATGTTACATATAAAAATATATACGAGTTGACGACTTTCGAAATTCTCGTCCCCTGTGATGACTTGCTGTTTACATATCACCATTGTAAGGAGGAATGAGATGTTTATCAGTCTTTGCTATCTACAGACCTGCAAAACTTGAATTTGCTCGCACATGCTTGTCATAGCTTCGTCCCTGATGGCCATTTGCTCTTGGAGATAGCCATTGTTGAGTGTCACTTCACTCAGTTTGGCAATCAGATCCTTTGTGCTCGAGTCCTGTGGCTACAAAGCAAAGAAAGGAGAATGACCTCCTGGCTATCAATTTCTGCCTCGATTTGCATATTACATAATAGGTATGCTACACTGTGCAAAATTTCATGTACCTGGTCTTTACAAAGTTGAGAGTAAATTTGACTCCTCTAATGGTTTTCAAATACTGTACGTAAACACGAAAGAAATACTACGAGTCCTAGGAGTAGTTCAGATGGTCGACATAGGAATAACGAGGAATTCGAAATAACCGAGTTCGAAGTACCGGGGTTCAACTGTACTTCACAAACTTTCGAAAAACGGTAAAAAATATATATATAATTCGAGAACTTTGCTCTAACTGTCACTTTAAGTAAGTTCATACCTGCTCGACCCAGAAGTTGTCATCAGACTCCTGAACATCAGAGACGTTGGTTGAGCTTCGGCTTTCTGGGTAAGAAAGCTGACGGATGTCCAGATGCTTACCTTAAAACATACAATTTCACCTGAATTAAAACCAACAACTAGACAGTACAAGCTTCGACATGAAAACAACTGAAAGAACTGAAAAAAGTCTGGGTTTACCGAACGTTCTGGTGACGGGCTCCAACTTTCAGAGTTTTTAAACATACATGAGAGTATGAAGGCATCAATGATAATCGCAGATATAAACACAGCTTAAGCAGCTGTGAAATTTAAGCCTGAAAAAAAATTCAGGCTTGAACGGGATTCGAACCCATGACCTCTGCGATACCGGTGCAGTGCTCTACCAACTGAGCTATCAAGCCAACTGGCAGCTGGTCAAGTTGTGAGTTCGTGATATACCCGTAGATAGTGAAGATACAAGTGAATATATGATCTTTCATATATTCATTTGCGTAAGTGGGAGTGACGCAGATCGATCGCAAGAGTTACAACTGTGCCCATCTGAAGCACTGACTTCTGATCCACTGTCAGCTGGTTTCTGTCCTATCTAGAATATTTACGAGGGAGGGTTAACAGTAAGAGAGTTGATCCCCATACATGCCTTATTCCAAGGTAATCCCTCTTAACTCATTATTAGATCAATTCAGGTTTCGGAAATCCCAAGAAGGTTCACAAACAGCCAATCTTGTGCCAATGATTTTGCTCACGTGACTACCCAAGCGGCTTTAGTTTACATGCATTTTCATCTTCCATGAAAACATTCACGCAACGCGCGTGGTAATGCTATCTGCGGAAGGACTGAGTACCACGTTTAAAAATTATTTGAGAGAGACTACTTGGGGAAATGGGCCATTTCCGAGAGGGCTTTTGCCTCGGTGTCAAAATCAGTCTTCGTGTGAGATCATATGATAATGTGTTCCGCCTGCAAGTTCATTCTCATGTAAATCAAAAACATTTTCATAGGAAAAGTTTTGCACAAGGACTCGTTTTGAAACAGAGGCACAAGGTAACTCGGAAATGGCCTATTAGATTATTCCCCAGTATTGCATTGCACATACCTACAGCGTATAATTTCACGCGTGATTAGCGCGCGCGCATTAAAAAATGGCGGCTTTTTCTTTACAGCTGGACCTCGCCATAGAGGTAAATCGTCATTTTCTCGCAAACGAGTATGGTGTGACCTATCATTTTTTCTGTTGTTTTGAATTGAGTAATAAGTTTCTCTGTGTAAAATAACTATGGACCAATTCTCAGTGTATAACAAAAAGCAATCGTCGAAAACGTGAATTTAGGAAGCAATCGTGACTACAATCATGGTGCTATTATAAGGATTTATATGGGTATAAACAAGGTGCTTTTGCTCCTAAACGAACATGG